CCGGGGCTCCGGCCCCACGGCACGACCCCCCGGAGACACCGGCATCGCCAGAGCCACTGCTGTGGCCGGGGCAGCCCACGGTGGCAGCACCGCGCCGGATCTGTCCCGCAAACCCCCCCGCAGGACCGCGCTGCCGCGGCAGACTGACCCCGCTGCACAAAGGCAGTCCCATGGGGGCATTAGCCATGCAAAGCTGTGAAGAACAAAGATTAAATAACCACGCCAGCTGGGCAAAACTCTCCTCTGGCTCAAATCCCTTTGCAATCTGGCTGAGCCAGGGCAGAATTCGGCCTGCCGAGAAAGATAAACTGCTCCTGAACCCCCCAACACACAACTGACTATGCGCGATCTCTCGGGGACCGGGGTGCGACACCAACGCTTTCTTCCTTGGAGGGCAGTGTGTGCATAGAAAAAGAGATCCAATCCAGGCTACTATAAATATCTGAAAACAAATTAATTAGGATCCTCAGCACCCGCTCCCTTCTTCTGACCCAGTTGAACGACAGCGATGGTGACAGAAGATGCCGAAAGCCTCTGCGAGCGGCGGCTGCTGCGTTCCTACTCCATCGGCCGCCCAAAGCCTGGCATGGACCCCGCACATCCTGAGCAGGAGCAGAGGTGGAGCTGAGCACCCACACCAAGTCCCAGGGACCCCCCCCCACTCCTGTCCCCAGAACCCCAGAGCCCATCCCTCCGCAGAGCTGCCATCTCCCCGGCACCTCCAAAACCCTAATGGAGACCCCGTGGCTGGAGGGGCACGGGGCAATCCCAACGGCTGCGCCAGCAAAGCCCCCCCGTCCGCCCGCTGTCACCACCTGGGAGGGGGGCAGGGGAACCCCCCCGGGCCCTCCATGGGGGCACAGCCACAGGACACCAGGGACATCCCCGCTCAGCTCCATCACGGGCACACAGAGCACCGGGGGCTGCCGGGAACGATCCAACCGCTTCCATGCTCTCGGCGCAACGCATCACTCCCCTCTGCGGTGACAGGCCCCGACCCACCCGCTCCCCAGCCTGCCCAGGCGGACAATGCTCCCCAAAACCCCCCTCTGCGGAAGGTGCCCCCGAGGGCTGAGCCCCTCAGCCCAGACCAGGGCCCCACCGCAAACGGCCGGGCTGCCCGGCGGGTGGGATCGGTGCGGGATCGGTGCGGGATCAGTGCGGGATCGGTGCGGGATTGGCGCTTTGCAAGCTCACACTAAATACTCCTATTCTAAAAACGAGGTCACTCTTAGAAGTGGGTTAAGAAGCCAACGGCAGAAGTTCTCCTGAGCCAAGCGAGCGGTGAGGTACAGCGCCCAACGTGCCGTCCGTACCCCCATGCCCCAGTACAGCCAGTGGTGATGAATGACTGGTGCCGCTCTCCCCTGGAAAAGCCTTTTACCCCGGGGGTCCCTGAGGAGGGGAGGGGGCATAAAGGCTTTGCGAAATTCTCAAGGACCCCAAACCTTCCCAATCCCCCCAGGCAGTCACAGCCTTTCCCCCCCGATGACCGAGCGGTGGCTTCCAGCCCACCCCCCAGGTCCAACTGCCCCACATCGATGCCGCAGAGGGGGAGAGCAGCTCCCCGACACCCTCACCAGAGGGAACGGTAACGCCGGGACCAGCAGCAGCTCACAGCACCGGCACACACATCGGGAGCAACAGCAGCCAGTGAGCCCGGGTCCCTCTGCTCAGGAGCCTCAATGGTGGCACGAACAAGGTGGTGGCATGAACAAGGTGGTGGCATGAACAAGGTGGCAGCACCATCCAGGCAGCAGCAAAGCCCCAGAAACCATGTTAACCCTGGACGAGGAAGGCTCTGGCCAAGGAGTACCGGGGACGCGTGCTCTGGATGCGGCTTCACCCCCAGTTCAGGTGTGGGATCAGCTCTTGCAAGAGGAATTCACCAGCATTGAAAACCCGCGGCTCAGCCCCAGCCCCACACCCCGCGGAAGGCTGCGGGGGCCGGGCGGGCGGGGGG